AAACTTTCCTGCTCCTCTGATGCTACCTGGCCTGCTGTGTTCCTCCAGCTCCACACTGTGTTGGCATAGGGGAAAGCATTTGTTGGCAGGGATAGTGATATCAGCGCCATTGGGATGGTGACGTAGGAGGATCTGAACTACGTTCCTTTAGTTCCTCAGAAAACCCTCCTAGTAATTTCTGAAGCAGTGACAACTCAAGTTTGTGACCAATTTTAGACAGAATGCTACACTAGTCTTGGAGTAACCTCTTGGTTTTTCATTTGAAATTTTTTCTAACCAGAAAGTGAACTGGATAAAATATAGTAGACACAACAGCAGGTCAGAGGCTGAGAATCCTGGACCGAGTAACTCACTTACTGACAAGCCATCGGTCTGGCCACTATCTACAAGGCACAAGCAAGGAATGAGGTGGAATTTTCTCCACTTGCCTGGAACGGTGCAGCTCCCACAACATTCAAGAAGCTCCACACCATCCAGGACAAAGCATTGGCACAAGCAGAGATAGTAGGAACTGCAGGTGCTGGAAAATCTGAGACAACAAGGTGTAGAGCTGGATGAACACAGCAGGCCAAGCAGCATCAGAGGAGCAGGAAGGCTGACGTTTCAGGCCTAGACCCTTCTTCATCCAGCTCTACACCTTGTTATCTCATTGGCACAAGCAGCCTGCTTCAAATATTCAGGTCCACAAAACGCACGAGGACAAAATCAGCAACATGAAATTGAAGCTTAACAAAATTGAAGCAGTTCATGAAGGTAGCTCACCACCACCTTCTCCAGGTAAAGGTGAAGTCACCATAGTCCCACTCTCTCATTAGGTAGGGGGTTTAACCTGAGGGTCACCACACCCCAGGCAAGAGGAGAGTCTTCAGGGTGCACAAGGACACTATGCCCACAGCTCTATCTGTGGCAAGGAGCTCCAAAGACTCATAATCCTCTGAGGGGAGAAATTCCTCCTCATCTCAGTCTTAAATTGGAGCCCCTTTATTCTGAGACTCTGTGCTTTGGTCCCAGTATCTCCACAAGGGGAAACATTCTCTCAGCATTGACCCTGTCAAGCCCCTTAAGAATCTGATATGTTTTGATGAGAATAACTCTCATTCTTCTGAACTCCAGTGAGTAGAGTCCCAACCTGTTTAACATTTGGTCATAAGACAATCCCTCCATACCAGGGATCATCCTGGTGAACCTTCTCTGAACTGCCACTAATGAAATCGTAGTGGAAATCAAGGATTTAGGGCAAAGGTAGGAAAGTGGATGTGAGGAATGTCGGATCAGCCATGATCCTATTGATTGGCAGAGTGGGCTCAAGGGGCCGAATGGCCTACTGCTGTTCCTATTTCTTACAGGTAAACTCAGCCAGTAGCAGGAATTGAACCCATGCGTTGGTGTTATTCTAGCTTGTATAACCAGCCTTCCGGCCAACTGAGCTAACGGACCCCCTACCTTTCCAAGGGTAACTAGGGATGGGCAATAAATGCCGGCCTAGCCAGCGATGCCCACATCCCAGGAGTAGTTAAAAATAATTAAAGTGACAGCGGAGACACTGAAGTGAAACAAACATAGAGGATACTGGCGAATATCCACGGAACTGACAACAGCAGCGGAATAGAGTCCAGTATGACTCTCCTTCAGAACCTTCCTCTTCTGCAGAACAGTCGCACTGATTCACAATGTTACTTCTCTCTCTCTCGCTCCGCAGATGCTTCAGATTCAGATTTGCTTCAGACTCCCAGCATCTAGTTAGTTACTTTTATTGAAGTGGCCTTTTTGAGGTGTAATGTCATCTTGTGCCAGGAATCCAGACACTCAGGTAATGCCCTGGGGTCCCAGGTTCAAATCCTGCCACAGCAGATGGTGGAATTTGAATTCTATAAAAAAATCTGGAATTAAAAGTCTACTGATGACCGTGAATCCATTGCTGATTGTTGGGAAAACCCACCTGATTCACTAATGTCCTTTAAAGAAGGAAACTGCCATCCTTACCTGGTCTGGCCTACATGTGACGCTAGACCCACAGCAATGTGGTTGACTCTTAACTGCCCTCTGGGTAATTGGGGATGGGCAATAAATGCTGCCTGGCCAGTGACACCCTTATCCCGTTAATGAATAAAAAAAAGTTAAATACAAATTAAAAGCCAAAAGAACTGCAGACGCTGTAAGTCAGAAAGAAAAACAGAAATTGCTGGAAAAGCTCAGCAGGTCTGGCAGCATCTGTGGAGAGAAACCAGTTAACTTTTTGGGTGAAGTGACCTTTCCTCAGAACCGCTCTGACAAATTAAAAGTGTTGAAGTGAGGCCATCCACCTGAAATGCTAACTTTTCTTTCCCCCCCAAGTGTTGGTCGGCCTTGACTGTTAACCAACATGTTCTACCTTCTCCCCAGGTTTGCAGAGTTGGCAGTATGCTGGTTTTCAGACATTATTACCAAGCTGGAATTGGTGCTGAAGGAGGTGACTGTACAAGGGGGAAGAGCTGATAGCTTACGCCTATTCATGACACTGTCATCGACCCCAGCCCCATAGTCAAGCCTGACCCTCTCCATCATATAAACAAAGGCAGATTGTTAGGGGGGCATTGAGGGGTGGGAACAGACTGCAAGGCTCGCCTTCCTGTGTTGTTGATTCGCGTTCAGCTGTCGGTGTAAAATCGCTTGGAACCGCTAAGTGGTTCCTTTCGCAGTCCATCAAACAGGTCGGTGCCTGGTGGCGAATCGAAGAGGCTCTGTTTGCCTTTCAAAGAGATAAATTGCAGAAAGCACATCAGTATCGTGAACTGCGCGTTTGTCCCAGACACTTCGTCCACGTAAGGAATAGCCCTTCTCCAGTCAACCTTTAGAGTGCGCGTTCCCCGTTTTAGAAGTAAATGAAGATTTAAAACGATTTTGCTTAAAAAATATTAGGATCACATATATTTCTCGTAATCAGGTAGATTTTTTTGACAGCGAATAGATTTGCAACTGATGTTACTGTCTCTTTCAGAACGCGTTTAGAAAGATGCTCCGCAGTTTAAAGTTTTTGTGGATTTGGATAATTATTCCCCACACGTCCGCGTTGGAATTTAAACACCACAGTACAAGGGAATTGGAGTCGTTTTTACGAGATATCAGCACGAAGTACTCATCAATTACCCACCTTTACAGTATTGGGACATCTGTAACCGGTGAGTTTGTATAGAAAGCGCTTGTTGGTTTGAATGAGTGTGTTAGCAATGAACTTTAAAAACAAAAGTTGTTGTCATATTTTATTGCACTCTATGCAGAAATTTCAGTTCTCCAGAAAAAAAACCTTCTTTTACAAACTGCCTGTTTCGAAATACACTGCGTTAAGTAATATATCTCAAGGCTGCTTACGAATTTTGTTCAGTGACCTGCATTAATCCATACAGATTATCAATCCTCTTTAAGGTCAGCGCTCTGTACCACTTGGAAGAGAAAGTTGAGGTGTATTGGAAACGTCACTGCCCTAGTCACTCAAAGCAATGGGTTTGAATCTCGAAGTTTGAATTCTGTTAAGTTTATAACAAAGTTAGTCTAATGATGACCATATAATCATTTGTTATTGTCGTCAAAATCCATCTGGTTCACTCCTTTTATTTAAGGAAGGAAATCTGTTGTTCTCACCTGGTCTGGCCAATGTATGCCCTCTTAACTATCCTCTGGAACAATTAGGATAGGCAATAATTGCTGACCCAGCCAGTGACACCCATGTCCTGTCACCAATAATAAACATTAAGAAAGCAACCAAAACAGCAAGGGCTGACGCAATTACAAGGAAGTTTGATCACTGAGGCTAGCCAGAACTGAGCAGAATTCAACTAAATTCCTGTGGTCTGTGGCATATTTTTGTAGTTCTGACCAAAGTAAATAACACGAATACATAGTGTAAGAAGTCTTAAGAACTGTAACTGCATAACTGTAGTTATAAATCATGCTGTTCAAATGCTATTAATGTAAACATTTTATATATTTGGGGAGGGTGGGTGTTCCCTGATTTACAAGACTCCCACCTTTGGACACTGCTACTTGCAAATGTGATCTCACACAAGTTTAATTTTAAAGATCTAATATAGCAACATTTGCTGTGCTTACGAATGGCTCCTTTACATTGTCCTGTATCGTGTTCTGACTTAGTTACAAATCAACTTGAGAACAGACTCCAGAATAGAACCTGTTTGCAATGTGGGGACTGCCTCTTGTATGACATTTGCTTTTTAAAGTCTTTGTGGCATATTTCTGTTGCTTAGGTGACAAAATGTATACTTTTCTCATTAAGTGTTGAATGTTTTCTAATCATCTGTTCAGATGTTTTTACACAACTCTGGAACAGGTGGGAATTGAAGCTAGGCCTCCAGGCTCAGAGGTAGGGGCATTGCCACCACACCACAAGAACCATTTTTAAAATGTTAATGGATCTCTAGTGGATCCCAGCCTGTTTATTTCTTTGATGTGGAAGTGTTGGAGTTGGACTGGGGTGGACAAGGTCAGAAGTCACACAACACCAGGTTGTAGTCCAACAGGTTTATTTGAAATCAAATTTTCAGAGCACTACTTCATCAGCTGAAGGAGCAGTGCTCTAAATGCTTGCGATTTCCAATAAACCTGATGCACTATAATCTCGTGTCGTGTGACTTCTGACCTTCTTTATTATTAAAGAACCTTGCCCTGCCATGCTTACTTTGAGTAAATTCAGTGGCCGTTTTGGAAGTAGACAACAATAAAGTAAATGAGATTTTTATTCTGATTTTATCATTGTTTTCTGATTAATTGCACCTTTAACATCTCTTCTAAACATTCTCCCACTGAGTTTACGAGCTGCTATTTTCTAAACTCCTTTGGAATGCAGCTGAAAGGTATGTAGCAGAGGCAGAGAGGGCATGTGGAGGACAGAAACACTTAAAAGCTTAATCCTCCGATGGTTACAAATAGTTGGTGGTGGCAGGAGATTTGGAGAAGTTGGGGAGTGGTGGAGAGAGATACAGCAGAAGTTGAGGAGAGGCCAACAAAGTTTATTCTGGCCAGAAGGATTGAGGAAGGGGTTTAGGGGATGTTGGGAATGTGGGCAGCATGGGAGAGAGGGAATAACAAATGGGCCCAATGGTGGTGTTGGGATGAGGAGAGGGGACAACATAGAGAATGGATGGAATAGGATGGTCTGAGGAATAAAAGAGGGTAAATTGAGCATGAAATGGGAAGGTTGAAATGGCATTGATCAGAGATCTGAAGTACTGTTACAATAAAAGGTAAAGTTAGCATGGTCCTGCTCTATCCTGGGAGACAACTGGTGATTTAATCTCAGGCAGGGGAGAGGCTCGGAAGGAGAGTTCTTTATGGTAACATCAGACAGTTTGGGAATTGAACGCACTCTGTTTGCATCGCTCTGCGTTGCAAACCATCTGTTCAGCCAACTGACTCTCAAAGGTATTTGTTTTACTGCCACTGTTTGGTTAGTAGTGTAAAATAATGTAATCCGTACAAAAGGTTAGCCCTAAACCAAAATGTAACAATCCCAAAAATAGGTTTGTCTTGGTTACAAACTGCCAAAATGCATTTGGTGTTTAATATCAAACAGCATTGAGGGGGAAAGTTGAGAAACATTGTACAGCTAGTTTAATAAAAAAACATGAATAGGTTCTACCTAGCAACAAATGACTTTAAATCAAGCAGCTCTGTCCATGGTTCAACTTGTTGTAGATGGTCTCTTGGAGAAAGCTTGTGACTCGAGAAAGCTTAAAGTCTATGAAATGCATGGCAAACAACTTGAAAGCACTTGATCAACAACAAGGTTAAATTAACTTACCACAAATTGATTCTTAGGAAGTGTGACACAAAATGACCATACGTGAATCAATAGAGTGAAGTTTCAGTACAAGTCTCCAAAACAGACTGAAGATGATGGAAAACCTGCTATTCCTTGTCACCAGCCAGTGATGCCCAGAAAATATTTTTTTAATTCATTTGTGGGATGTGGGAGTCAGTGGTTGGTCCAACATTCATTGTCCATCCCTAGCTGCCCTTGAAGATGGTGGTGATTGGAATTCTGGAATTGCTGCAGTTTAGTTGTGCTTCTCTAGTTGCTGATTTTTGTCCCCTTGAAGTTTACAGACATGAATGTTTGAAATGGATTGTTACCTTTATTAGTCAGTCTATCACAATCCGAATATACATTTGTGCTTTTGCTAGTTTAGCATCGGTCTATCTATTTTGAAGAACCAAATGTTGCACATTGGTGTTTGCAGATGAATTTTGCTAATCTGAAATTATCTCTCACTAGACAATTGACCAGCTTTTCAAACAAATAAAGGGATTGAGAAAACAAAAAGTTGTATTTATTTAGCACCTTTCATACCTATCGTGTGTGCAATCAATGTATTACTTATTTTGAAGTGCTGTTACTGTTTTTTTTCTCTATTCATTCATGGGATGTGGGCATCTGTGGCTGGGCCAGCATTTATTGCCTGTCCCTAGTTGCCCCTTGAGAAGGTGGTGGTGAGCTGCCTTCTTGAACTGCTGCAGTCCTCCTGATGTGGGTTGACCCACAATGCCCTTAGGGAGGGAATTCCAGGACTTTGACCCAGCGACAGTGAAGGAACAGCGATATATTTCCAAGTCAGGGTGGTGAGTGGCTTGGAGGGGATCTTGCAGGGGCTGGTGTACCCATGTATCTGATGCCCTGTCCTTCCAGGTGGAAGTGGTTATGGGTTTGGAAGATGCTGTCTGAGGATCTTTGGTGAATTTCTGCCGTGCATCTTGTAGATAGTACGCACTGCTGCCTCTGAGTGTCAGTGGTGGAGGGAGTGGAGGCTTGCGGATGTGGTGCCAATCAAGCGGCTGCTTTGTCCTGGATGGTGTCAAGCTTCTTGAGTGTTTTTGGGGCTGCACTCATCCAGGCAAGTGGGGAGTATTCCATCACACTCCTGACTTCTGCTTGTAGATGGTGGACAGGCTTTGAGGAGTCAGGAGGGGAGTTACTCGCTGCAGGATTCCCAGCCTCTGACCTGTCGCCACTGTTTGTGGTGAATCCAGCTGAGTTTCTGGTCAATGATAACCCCCAGGATGTTGATACTGGGGGATTCAGTGATGATAATGCCATTGAATGTCAAGGGGTGGTAGTTAGATTGTCTCTTATTGGTGATGGTCATAGCCTGGCATTTGTGTGGCGTGAATGTCACTTACCACTTGCCAGCCCAAGCCTGGATATTGTCCAAATTTTGTTGCATTTGAACATGGACTGCTTCAGTGTCTGAGGAGTCACGAATGGTGCTGAACATTGTGCAATCGTTGGCGAACATCCCCACTTCTGACCTTACGATGGAGGGAAGATCATTGATGAAGCAGCTGAAGATGGTTCGGTCTAGGACACTACCCTGAGGAACTCCTGCAGAGATGTCCTGGAGCTGAGATGACTGACCTCCAACAACATGACCATCTTCCTATGTGTCAGGTATGGTTCCAACTGCCGGAGAGTTTGCCCTCTGATACCCATTGATTCCAGTTTTGCCAGTGCTCCTTGATGCTACACTCGGTCAAATGCAGCCTTGATCTCAAGGGCTGTCACTCTCACCTCACCTCTGGAATTCAGTTCTTTTTCCCATGTTTGAACTGTTGGCCCTGGCGGAACCCAAACTGGGTGTCACTGAGCAGGTTATTTCTGAGCAGGTGCTGCTTGATATCACAGTTGACGACAACTTCCATCACTTTACTGATGATTGAGAGTAGACTGACAGGGCCTGTGTGACCATCCGTGACTGCACAGTGCGATACAGGATGCCCTCACATCTGTATTCCAGGGCAAGACTGATGGGTAAGGTAGGCCTTTAAGTCTTGCTTGACAGCAAGATAAGACGTCTAGCAACTGAGACAGTGACTGTTTCAGGAATATAATAAGAATCTGGTTGGAAGGGTTCAAAAACTGAATAATAGCTACTCATTAACTCAGAACACAATGACATAAGAATTTGTGTTCGGGGGTTCTGAGGAATCTGACTTCAAACACCTATGAAACAAGTGCTAAAGGAAGGCAATGTTCTTCATACATATCCTATTTGTAATGTACTAAAGACCTTGGCACTGACAACCAATGTTTTTTTATTTTCTTTTTAATCTTGCATTCTTTCATGGAATGGCAATATTGCAATATTACTTCTCTCCCTATCCAAGAGTC